TTTGTACTCCGTACATAAATTGTTTCTTGTTACTTGTGAAGTGGAGATCAGGGATTTTCTTTCTTTTAACCACTTTTTTAATAGATTACGAGGGGAAAGACGAGCTTCTCTGGGTGTTTTGGGGGTAATTATTAGAGGGGAACCCCCTACTACCATCATAACAGATTGGGGCTTGTGTTTTAGTTTAATTATCAGAGTGGTTCAGCCATTCCCCGTCATAACACAGTCACAACGTCTCATAAAACCATAAGAAATAGGAACAGGAGAAGCCATTCAGCATTTGAGCCTATTCCGCCATTCATTAGGATCATGGCTGATCCAACATTCCTCATGTACGCTTACCTGCATTTCACTGTAATCCTCAATTCCCCTATTGATCAAGAATCTATCTCTGCCTTAAATACATACACAGACTCCGCTCCCATAGCTCTCTTGGCAAGGAGTTCCAAAGACACTCAGCCCTCTGAGAAAAGAAATTCCTGTTCATCTCAGATCTAAGTTGATGCTCCTATTTTTTTCTGAGACCATGCCCTCTAATCCCAGACTGTACCATGAGGGGAAACATCTTCTCAACATTTACTCTGTCGAGCCCCTTCAGAATCCTATATGTTTCAATCAGATCACCTGTTATTCTTCTGAATTCCGATGAGTAGTGTCCCAATGTGTTCACTGGCAATTCCATCGCCCTTTCTATCTTTAGCTCATGTGGATCTAATCCAGTTGTTCCCCAATCTAGCGATTGTCACTACTACCATTGTTCAAGCAACAGTTGTAGCTGAACAATCTCATATGGGATAGACTTCCATCTAACTTGTGAATTGGTCAGTAATAACCAAACAATAAGTCTTTCCCTGACTCAATGGGAGGGATTCCATGAAATCAATTTGGTCCACGCTGGTATAATATGCGGTCTTTCCATATTATGTTGTGCAGATACCAGGTGTCACTAGCAATGTTTTCCTATATCTCTTCCCATTCCTCACCACCACCAGCACCTGCTCATTGTCTCAAACATGACTCCTGCCCAAGATGTGCATTTTCACAATGTTATGCAGAATGCAGCACGATGCTATCACCCTTTTCTCATTCCTCCAGATGCCTATGGGTCCTTTTACTGTTCCCTGTGTTTGCCATCATTTTTCCTCCTGTTCTGTATCCTTGTAAATTTACCACATTCACCTCATCTGCCCCAATTGCCACCACTGTCACCCAGTGCTCAGGGCCATTTGCGGCTGTCTCCTTAGCTGTCTTATTGCTCACCTGCAACAAAAACAAAGTTGCTGGAACAGCTCAGCAGATCTGGCAGCATCTGTGAAGGAAAAAACAAAGTTAACATTTCGGATTCGGTGACAGACCTGCTGAGCTTTTCCAGCAACTTTGCTTTTGTTCCTCATTTACAGCATCCGCAGTTCTTTCGGTTTTTATTGCTCACCTAATTGGACAGAGTCTCTTTCTTCTGGTATGGTTTAATTTTTGTCACTGTTGCCTCAAAAAATAGTCTAGGATCTTCCACTATTTCCTTAATTATTGTCTCATGTTCTACGTGCCACCCATCCCCGCCGCTCACGTTCTATGTGCCACCCATCCCCACCGAGGTGACGTATCCTCTCAACTCCATGCTGCTGTATAATCATGTACAACTGCAAAGGTGCATCTACTATCAGTGTAAATGTTAGCCCATTGAGTGCAATAGCACATTGATTGTGATAATCTGTGCTCAACATTTCAATTCTTTTCAATATTCCATTTTTTTCTCTCTGTTACTCCAGAAGATACGATGGAGACTGTCTACTTGTGATGGGATTGCCCACCTACAGATTGTCTCCTCCAATAACATTTCTCTGACAAAATTTTTGCTAATTCTTTGTTAGTTGAATTTATGCAAAAACTATCAAATTAAATGGACTTAAAAGGTCCGACAGTCCTCATTTTCTTAAACTGTATCCAACTTGTGGGAACTGCCGATGCTGGAGAATCTGAGATAACAAGGTGTAGAGCTGGATGAACACAGCAGGCCAGCAGCATCAGAGGAGCAGGAAAGCTGACGTTTCGGGTCGAAACCCTTCTTCAGAAATGGGTGAGGGAAAGGGGGCCCTGAAATAAATAGGGGGAGAGGGGGAGGTGGATAGAAGATGGATAAAGGAGAAGATAGGTGGAGAGGAGACAGACAGGTCAAAGAGGCGGGGTTGGAGCCAGTAAAGGTGAATGTAGGCGGGGAGTTAGGGAGCGGATAGGTCGGTCCAGGGAGGACGGACAGGTCAAGGAGTCGGGATGAGGTTAGTGGGTAGGAGGTGGGGGTGGGGCTTGGGGTAGGAGGAATGGTTAGGGATGCGGGGACAAGCTGGGCTGGTTTTGGGATGCGGTCGGGGGGGGGCAGATTTTGAAGCTTGTGAAGGCCACATTGATACCCTTGGGCTGCAGGGTTCCCAAGCGAAATATGAGATGCTGCTCCTGCAACTTTCAGGTGGCATCATTGTGGCACTGCAGGAGGCCCAGGATGGACATGTCATCCAAGGAATGGGAAGGGGAGTTGAAATGATTCGCGACTGGGAGGTGTAGTTGTTTGTTGCGAACCGAGCGTAGGTGTTCCGCAAAGCGGTCCTCCCTGAACCGACCTATCCCCTCCCTAACTCCCCACCTACATTCACCTTTACTGGCATGTTGAATTAACTGTCCTGTAGTTTTGTGCCTTTTGTTGTCCCTTTTTGAATAACGTAGCTATATTTGCCAGCTTCTGTCTAATCAGACCTTCCACAAATTTGAGAGTTTTGAGAAATTGAAATCAATGCATCATCTATTTTACTTGCTACTTTTTTTGACACCTTAAGATGAAGTCCATCAAGACCAGGACACATGTCAGCCTGCATCTCCAACAGCTTACTCAGTACCATTTCTCTGGTTATGATAATTTTCCACATTCTGGTTTCTTGAACGTGAGACATCTGTGAATGTTGTGCTTATACCGTCATTAATTATCCAATCTGATCCTCCGTCTTGTCCTAGCTTCCTATCTTTCCTAAATGTCCCTAAATATACCCTTTAATATTTAGTTACCAATCCACAGGCACCTCCCTGTAATAACCACCCAGTTGTTGTACTTAATTTTATCTGCACATGCATTTCATCTGCTTTGTTGTGAATGCCATGTGCCTTCAGATACGGGGTCTTGGATGGTGGGAAATTTCAGTAGTTGATATTTGCAATTGGTTAATAGTCTGGGATCACTTTAAATGACCACATAATGCCACGGTTGGTGGTGCTTAAATGGCTAAAGCACAAAAGAATTTTCTCTATTTCAATTTAACTTTCTTTTCAGACATCCTTGGGCCACTGGTTACCATTTGTTCAAGTGAGATATTTTAAAACTGAGACTTTCAAGTAAAAACTTTAATGATAGTACTAAAATTTAATAATATTCAACAGAGACATAGAAACTAGAAGCAACAGTAGGCCATTTGGCCCTTTGAGTCTGCTTAGCCATTCAATGTGATGGTGGCTGATCCTGTATCTCAATACCATATTCCCACTTTCTTCCCATACCATTGATGTCTTTATTATCTAAAAGTGTATCAATCTTTTTTATAAATATATTCAGTGACTTAGCCTCAATAGCCTTTTGTGGTAGAGAATTGCACAGGTTCACTACCCTTTGAATGAAGAAATTCTTCCTCATTTCAGCCTTAAATGGTCTACGCTGCATCCCTCCTTCTGAACCCAAATCCTTTTGCAAGGCCAACATATGATTTGCCTTTCTAATTTCTTGCTGTAACTGCTCATTTTCTTTCATGACAAGAACATCTATATCCATTTGTATGTCCACATTTTCAAATATACCACCATTTAAATAATACTCTTCCGTTGTGTTTTTCATACCTAAGTGTATACCTTCATGTTTAACCATGATGTACTGCATCTGCTACGTGTTTGCCCAGTTCCGTGCCATCAGCAATCTTGGAAATGTTGCATTTGGTTCCCTTATCCAAGTCAGTTATATATATTGTAAATAGCTAGGGCCCAAGCTAATTTGACCATACCCCATCCACAAAAACACCTATTTATTTTCACTCTCTGTTTCCCTCAATATCAACCAATTCTTGATCGATGCCAATATATTGCCCCCAATCCCATGTGCTTTAATTTTGCCCACTGACCTCTCAAGTGGGATCTTATCAAAAGCCTGTTGAAAATCTAAATGCACCACAGTCACTAGTTCTCCCTTCTCTATTCTACTCGTTACATCCTCAGAAAAATTCAAATAGATTTGTTACACATGATTTACCTTTCATAAACTCATGCTGACTTTGGCTAACCCTGTCAATGCTTTCCCAGTGTTCTGGTATCATATTTTGTTGTAATAGACTTGATATATTTGATACGCTTAATTATGTTCTTGTGAAATAGGGATTTTGGTTTCTTTAAAATTCCCTTTGAATGTTAAAATATTTGCCTTGAATAAAAAGTAGTAGGCAAATTCAGTTTTTAAGATAGCATTTTTTGCATTAAGAAAGTGTTTCAAAGAGTTAAGCAGCAAGCCATGCTCATGAAATATCAATGTATAATTTTCCCACTATAAAAAGCTGACATACAGACTTTAGTATAATTGTGCACATTAAGAGCTTTACAATTGATTAATGTTGGCATAAACACTGTTTCAGAAAGTATTGTTTGTGTACATGTCATGGGACTCCTTTGGTCAGATCATTAGATACGTTGCAAATAACAGTGAGAAAAAGTAATGTCTACTTGGCTCCAAACCTTCAACTAATCTAATTGCTTAATACTAATAAGTGGAAAAAAAAATTAATTTTTCATGTGAAACCTTGCATTTCAGTTTGAAATGTGTAATGAGATAATGCTGACAAAAGTGAATTTATTTAATATACACAATTAATAATGTCTTTTCAGCATCTAACTAATTCTGTTGTTAACTGCAGATTTCTTTTTCTGTAGTCCTCATTCTGATTTTCCTGACAACTTTGTTTTTATGTTTGGACTTTCAGGATCTCAGTAACAAGGATCTGAAGCGAGATCTCTACATAGTTGTTCATGTGATACGAATAGGTAAACCTTGATATTTACAACAGACTGTTATGAATATGAATTCATTCACATGCTATCAGACAGGGTGGACAAGATTTTCAATTTCCACTGGGAATAAGACTGATGCAAAAATCCAGCCCAATAGCCAAACATCATAATTATTTTCAAGTAATACATGCTGAATATTATTGTATGTTGTGGATTATAATTGGTGAGGATCAGTAAATTACCATTGAAGTATGAGGTTGAAAGACAGTTTCGTGGGTGGGTGATAGGAAGGCTAGACATTAATGTATTAATGGAATGTTAAAGGGTAAGTGTTAATGGAGTGTTAAAACAAGGGCAATCAGCCTACCATGTGACCGCATTCAGGCTATAGACATTTAGAAAAGAGTTTACACCAGTTTAACTGTCACGTTCAGGAAGCAAAGCCCTTCCATGTATGTGCAATGATGTCCACATGATGTGATAGTTGCAATTTTAAGGGACAAATGGGCTTGCTATCCTGCAGAATAACTTTGCTCCTGTTCTGTGCATTCATATCAACAAACAGCCTGAGCAAAAATACTTTAAGAAACACTGCTGACAACTGGAGGGAGAAGTGCAAAAGGTTGTCTTAATTGTGTTTTGTGGAGCTAGAAGGAACATGAATAGTCCTCCTAGCTCCAGGAAAACACTGAGAGTCATTGCAGGCTCTGATTCAGATTCCATTCCACCCACTTCTCCCTCCCTACTATTTCCATTTGCAAAACTAATGTCATGCTATATTGTTAAAAAGGGCGTTCCCTGCATTACGAGGTGCGCATTAGGGTCATGCTTTGAAATGCTTTCATTATGTCATTGCATATAAGAAAGCACCCGGTGAATTGACGGACGCAGGATGAAGAACCTATAAATATCATGTTTAAAAAGTTAATTTTTTTTAAACTGTTTAATGTATTAATTTCAGTCACAGGTTTGTCTAATTAGCAATTCCAGCATAGCTTGTTGCTTGCATGTAGTGATCACCAGCAGTTCTGAGATGAGTGTGTTTTGTAGAAAGTTAACTTGCCTTAATAGATTTTTTTTAATTAAAGTTTCACATTCAGTTTCAGAGTGAGAAATATGGGTCCTTTACTCTAATTTTACGAAAATGGAATTTGCAATAGTGGATTGAGTAAATAGATGAAAAGGGAAGATGATAGAGAAGCAGTGGGAGACATTTAAGGAGATATTTCATAACTCTCAACACATCAGTATTCCACCGAGGGGAAAAAAGAACCTGTGAGAAGGATATCCTATCCATGGCTAAATAATGGTTGAGAAGAGTGTCTTAAGTCAATATCACAGTGGATCAGTCTGGGAAGAGTATCCTGTAGTCAGTATTGCAGTGACGTATTTTGGGAAAAGTGACCTGCACTCAGTTCTTGCTGAAAAAAAACAAGAGTGACATCACAGTCTGTAAACACAGTCTATGACTTCGTTGTCAAGAGACTGCTGTTAGGGACTATCTGTTAATTGCTATAAATTATTAAGCACCAGAAATAAGTGACAGTCAGGAGCAATAACATAGGTAAGCCATAGTGAGGTAAGGGAAGAATAATAAAGTTAATGTAATGGGAGTAAATTAAACTTTAAAACAAGATATTGCAGGGGAGCTGAGTCCAATATGTTGCACAACCTACAATATGTAGTAAATCCTAGATGCCCCTGGCAGTCTGGATGACCACATCTGCAGGAAGTGCCACCTCTTTTGATCAGCTTAAACACTAGGCTTTGAAGCTTGAGCATCTACTAGAGGTGTGGCAATACATCAGCAAGGCTCAGAGTTTGGTAGCACATTTTTAGATGTGGTCAACCCGCAGCTTCAGTCAGAAAAGTAATGGATGGCATTCAGTCAAAAGGGTGGCAGGCAGATAGTCATAGAGTCATACAGCATAGAAACAGGCCCTTCAGTCCAACTAGTCCATGCCAACCGTTCTTCCGAAACCGAACTAATCCGACTTGCCTGCATTTGGCCCATGTACCTCCAAACCTTTCCTATTCATATATTTATTCAAATGTCTTTTAAATGTTGTAACTGTACCTGCATTCACCAATTCCTCTGGCAGTTCATTCCACTCTCTGTATAAAAGAAGTTGCCCCTTGTGTCCTTTTTAAATTTTTATCTTCTCACCTTAAAAACAAGCCCACAGAAACAACCCTTGCCATTCACATCTATGCCCCTCATGATTTTATAAACCTCTATACTTCACCCATCAAACTCCTATGTTCCAGTGAAAAATGTCACAGCCTATCCAGCCTATCTTTATAAATCAAACCCTCCATTCCTGGCAACATTTTGGTAAATCTTTTCTGAACCCTCTCCAATTTAATAATATCCTTCCTGTAGCAGGGCAACCGGAAGAGGCTTCACCGACATACTATACAGCTTCAACATGACGTCCCAACTCCTATGCATAAACGTCTAAGCAATGAAGACAAGCATGCTAAATGCCTTCTTAACCACCCTGTCTACATGTGATACAAATTTATGAACCCCCAGGTCTCTGTTCTACAACACCACCCAAGGTTCTACTATTAATTGTATAAGAACTATTCTTGTTTGTTTTACCAAAATGCAAGACCTCGCATTTATCCAAGTTCAACTCCATCTGCCACTCCTCAGCCCATTGACCCAATTGATCAAGATCTCTTCATTATCTTAGATAACCTTCTTCAATCTCCCCTATACCACAAACTTACTAAGCATGCCTCCTAAATTCTCATCCAAATTGTTTTTCAAGAACAGATATTCTGTGCTGGAAAACAGTGAGAGTGACTGTTCCTCTGGGAAGCCAGAGCCCAGCTGCACAAGGTGGTAGTAGAAAGGGAGGGAGAACAATAAATGAGATTTAATAGTAAGGGAACAGATAGGTGTTTCTGCAACCGCAGATAACTCCAGGATGGTGTGTTGCCTTTCTGTGACCATGGTCAAGGATGTAACTGAATGACCATTGGGCATGCTATTGGGAGAAGGTAAATGGTCAGAAATTATGGGACCAACTACATAGGTAGAAAGAGGGATGAGGTCCTGTAACAAGGGAGTTATGTAACAGATTAAAATATGGGACCTCAAAGTTTGTAATCCTTGGATTGATCTTGGTGTCACATGCTAGTGAGTATAGCAATGGGTGGGTAGATTGACAAATGCATTACTGAAAATTTGGAGCACAAGGGAAGGCTTTAGATTTCTGGATCACTGGGTTTATTTCTGGTGAAGGTAGGACCTGTACAAGTCTGATGGCTTTCATCTGAACCAGGATGGGGCCAACATTCTTTGAAAAGGTTCGCTAGTGCATTTGGTGGGATTTAAACTAATTTGGCAGGATGATGGGCTGGAGAGTGGAGGTGCAGTAGGGGCCGATGTATAGACGAGTATAGAAGAACCAAGTCAGTTGAGAACGAAGTACAAGTATAGTCAAGTTAAGGCACAAGGGAGCATATCAAGGCTGGATGACATTTATTTTAATGCAAAGAGTCTTGAAAGTAACACCAGATAGGTTGAGGATGTTGATAGATGCATTGGGATGTGATATCATTGCTATCACACAGAAATAGTTTAGAGCGGGACTGAAACGGCAGCTCCATATTTCAAAGTATAGAAACTTCAGGCAAGATGCGATGAGTGTAAAAGAGGAACTGGTATTGCAATATTGATCAATAAATCAATTACTGCAGTAAAGAGGGAAGATATCTCAGAAGGTTCCTTAAATAAGTCATATAGGTAGAAATTTAGCAAAAAAAGGGCATGTACAGTAGAACACCAAACAGTCAGGGCGAGATAGAATGACTAATATGTAGGCAAATATCAGAGAAGATTAATAGGGTTATAAGAGTAGATGATTGCAACTTTCCACAATATTAACTGGGATAGACAAAGTGTGAAGCACTTTGAGGGGACAGAATTCTTAAAATATGTTCAGGAGAGCTTTTCAGCTCAGCATGTAGAAAGTCCTACAAGTGAGAGGTTACTGTTGGAGGTAATTTTAGGTAGTGATAGAAGTGGCAGTTGGGGACTATTTCTGTGATAGTGGCTATAAATTTAGTATGATTTAAGGTGATTATGGATAAGGACCAAGATGGAATGGAAATAAATGTTCTGAATTGGGGGAAGGCCAATTTTAATTAGATAAGACAGGATCTGGCCAAAATAGACCAGAAACAGTTACTTGCAGCTACTTGCCATCAGTGCAATGGGAAACAATTGAAAGACTAATAATGAGAGCGCAGGGCCAACATGTTCTGTTAAACCTCGGGATCAAAAAGTGCAGAGAACCCTGGGTGTCAAGGGATATACAGGATTCAGTAAGAAACAAAAGGAATCTTAAGGTAGATACCAAAGGCTCAAAACAGCGGAAAAGTGCTGGGGTTGTATACAAAACGAAATTAGGAGAGCAAAAAGGGGATATGAAAAAGCATTGGTGAGTAATATTAAAGAAAATCCAAAGTCATTTTGTAAGTATATTGGGGCAAGAGAATGAGCAGGGAAAGAGTACGCCCCATTGGGGGCCAAAGTGGCAATGTGTGTCTGGAGCTGGATGACTTAGCTGAGGATTTAAATGAGTTCTTTTGATCTGTATTCACAATTGAGAAGGATAATGAGGGTCTACAAATCAGAGAGAAGGACTGTGATATGCTTGAACAAATTAGCATTGAGAGGAAGAAGGTTGTAGCAGTTCTAACAGGCTTGAAAGTGAATAAATCCCCAGAATCAGATGAGCTGTGTCCAAGGCTGCTGTGAAAGGCAAAGGAGGAGATTGCAGGGGCTCCGGCATTAATTTTCAAATCCTTTCTGGCCGCAGGAGGAGTGCCAAAGGACTGGAGGATAGCTAATGCAGTACCATTATTCAAAGAGAATGGCAAAGATAAACCAGGAAGCTACATATTATCTGTCATAGGGACAGATATAATCTCCATTTGGAGAGGCAAGGATTATTCAAGGATAGTCAGCATGGCTTTGTGAGGCAGAGATCATGTCTAACAAATTTGATTGAATTTTTCAAGAAATCTTGATGTGTGGATGAGGGAGTGCAATTGATATAGTCTGCATAGACTTCAATAAGGCTTTTGATAAGGTCTCGCATGCAGACTAGTTAAGCAGCTCAGAACTCTTAGGATGCAGGCAATTTGGTAAATTTGATTCAATTTTGCCTTAGTGGCAGGAAGCAGGGGATGATGGTCGAAGGGCATTTTTGTAACCAAAAGCCTGTGTACAGTAGCATACAAGGGGGTTTGATGCTGGGTCCCTTGCTGTTTCAAGTATGAATTAATAATCTAGACATGAATGTAGGAGGTATGATCATTAAAGGTAACAGATGATATGAATATTGGAGACATCTTGCATAGTGAGGGGGAGGTCTTAGACTACAAAATGATATAGACAGGTTGGTCAGATTGGCTGAACAGTGGCAAATGGAATTTAATCCTGAAATGTGTGGTGATGCATTTTAGGAGGACTAATAAGGCAAGAGCGTACACTTATAAATGGTAGGACCTTAGGAAGTACAGAAGCTTAGGGGGACCTTGGTGTGCATGTCCATATATCCATTAAGGCAGCAGGACAGGTAGACAGGTGGTTAAGCAGACATACAGGATACTTGCCTATATTAGTCAAGGCATTAAATAGAAGAACAAGGAAATTATGATGAGCTGGACATCACATTATTTAAGCCACAGCTGGAGTACTGTGTGCAATTCTAGTCACCAAACTACAGTAAGGATGTGATTGTACTAGAGTGAACGCTGAAGAGATTCACCAGGATGTTGCTTTGTCTAGAGCAATTCAACTATGAAAAGAGATCAGATTCTGAGAGAACCTGACCAGTTTCATGCTGACAGGATCGCTGTTCATGTAGGGAAATCTAGAACTGTGTGGCAAAGTTCCAAAATAAGGGGTTTCTCATTTAAGACAGAGATGACAAGGAATTTCTTCTCTTAGAAAGCAGTGGATACTGTGCTATTGAATGCATTTGAGGTTAAGTTAGACGGATTCTTGGTTGACCAGGGAGTCAGGGTTTATAGGACAGGCAAGAATATGGAGTTAAGGCCAAAGCCCATCAACCCTGATCTGATTGAATGGCTAAACAGTATCAAAGGGCCAAGTGGCTGACTCCTGCTTGTATTTCTTATAATTTTATTTTCACCTATTCCTGTGTTCTTGAAAGGTCGGATGTTATTGAATGATTCAAAGAAAGGCCCTCCTCATGTGCAGTATCGTCGCCCGTACGGTTGTGCAGTACTGAGTATGATGGACGCTCTAACGTCGATTGCTGAACTTCGTGAGGAAAAGGATTTTATGTTGAAAGTTTACACGTAAGTGACATATGTTCGTTGTTACTAAGAGCTTGACTTACAGGCTGCAGTCTCCTAGGAAATTACAGGGTTCTAGATGTGGTTAGGAATGTGTATATTATAATTCACAAGGTATCACAGTTACGTGGGACAAATTTGATGGATCAAAAGGTCTTTTCCTGTCTGTAATGTTTGTTTACAGACACATATAAATCTCCTGAGCTATTTAACGTGCTGTTATTCAATCTTCTTCAGATGTTTACCATTTGTCCAAGTTTGGGCCAGCATATTTTCCTTGAGAAAGTGCTGGTGGTCCAGCTTGTGTGGTGTAGTTACACAACATGATTAGAAAAGGAGTTCCAGGATTCTGAATTAATAGCAGTGATAAAGAGAGGCAATATAGTTCCAAGTTAGGTGGTGAGTGACTTGAAAGAGAGCTTGCAGGTAATGGTGTTCCCATATTGTTCTTCTGAATGTGGAGGTGTTATTGAAAAAAGCTTTGCTGAGTTGATGCAGCACATTTTCAATATGGTGCACAATCTTTGTGTAAGAACAAAATGAGATTTTTGTTCTAAATATTGAATTGTCATATACTTTAACTGCAAGCAGTAGGCTATATATTTTTTAACTCAATCATGTCTCCAACTGGTATTAATATTACTGGAATGTCTTATTACAGTTTGTTTTTATGCATTCATGGGATGTGGGCGTCTCTGGCTAAGCCAGCATTTATTGCCCATCTCCAATTGTCCTGAGGGCAGTTAACAATCAACCACATTGCTGTGGGAGTGGAATTACATGTAGGCCAGACCAGCTGAGGATGGCAGATTTCCTTCCCTAAAGGACATTAGTGAATCACCTCAGTTTTTACAACAATCGACAGTCACCATTAAGCTAGCTTTTAATTCTAGATTTTTATCAGGCTCAAACTTCTTCATCTACCACAAGGGGAAGGTAGTGACAAAATGTTAACGTTGTTACCCAGAACTCAGAATAATTCTCTGAGGATGTAGGTTTGAATCTTGCCATGGCAGATGGTGAAATTTGAATTCAATAAAAATCTGGAATTAAAAGCTGACCTAATTACAACAGTGTAACCATTATTGATTATCGTTAAAAAGTCATCTGGTTTGACCTGTTATCCTTCAGGGAAGGAAATCTGCCTTCCTGAGCTGGTCGACATGTGGCTGGATCTACAGCAATGTGAATGACTCTTAGCTGCCTTTTTTAAATTGCCCAGCAAGTCACTCAATTAAAGGGCAATTAGGGATGGATAATAGTACTGACCTTAACAGCAACAGCCAGATCCCATGAGTAAATGATAAAAAATTGCCCTTCTCAGCTCTGTGATAAACTGCAACTTAAAAATCCAAAAGTCTGTTGCTAAGCAGCTTTCCAACCCAAGAGTACCTGGTGTCAGCTTGTCTCACACAAGTAACCAATTCAATTTCTCCAAAAGTTACAACACATTGCATAATGAATAAGTGACCACCACAGAGTTTCACTTTTGACCTTTGAACTATGAAAAAAAATGTCTCCACAACATAGCAGTGTCCAAACTTCTCTTTTTCCCCAGTTTATATTCCAGAACAAGTATGTAGTCTTGTGTGCTAAACAGCATAAGCCACAAGTGATAGATAGAGCTAAGCAAGAGATTTATACATTTTCTAGTTTCACTTAGCCCGAGATCGAGTCTATTGTTTTACTGGCATCGTCCAATAGGTTCCATGAATAGGTCGAGATAACAAGGTGTAGAGCTGGATGAACACAGCAGGCCAAGCAGCATCAGAGGAGCAGGAAGGCTGACATTTCGGGCCTAGACCCTTCTTCAGAAACC